AGAGAGAGAGAAAGGAAGCTACCATGTCTGGAACTTGAACCATGATTGGCCATGTGGGAATGTCCAGCACCTTAACCACCACACCACCTGCTGGTCCCTCATAGAAAACTTTAAAAGCACAAAAAGTTTAAAGATGTGTAATGAATATCACCTATAATTTCATACTTAGAAGCAACAATTATATTTTTAGAGTGTTTTTTGCTATAGGGCGCATGCGCTCATCAGAAAGACAGAGACAAAGAGATGGAAAACAAGAAATCACCTCCCGGGGGAATGGCCACACCACAATACCTTCTCCATTCTCCTCTTGGGATCTTGGGCATGCACACACATGCACCTGGCATGAGTTTAAGCCACTGGGTCCAGGACTCGAACCATGGTCAACTACATGGGAGTCCAGCGACATAGCCATTACACTAACTGCTGGTCCCAAGGCAACAATTATTAAGATTTGGTTTATTTTATTCACTTTTTTTCCATGCTTTTTTCTTTTTTAAGTTTATGTATTCCATGAATGAGAGAGAGAGACTGAACCTCAAGGAAGTCTTGATGCCATGATCCACCCCCAGCCTTCAGACAGCCCTGGATCTCGAGGAGTATGCCTGGCATACTCAAGGAGGTCTCTGGACGTGAATAAGGAGTCTTCTCATATGGGACTGCCTTGCACAATGTTGTGCTGCATTCCCCATGCTTGCTTTTTTTTCTTTTTAGAGAGAAATTTTTGCTCTAGGGCAGGTGTGCTCACCAGAGAGAGAGAGAGAATGTGAGAAATCATCCCCCCAGGGGGGTAGCCTCACTGCAGTCCCTTCTCCTCCATTTTCCTCTTGGGATTTTGGGCATGCACAGATATGCGCCCAGCTTGAATTTCAAGCTGCCGGATCCAGAACTCAAACCGTGGTCGGCCATGTCGAAGTCCAGCACCTTAATCACTACACTACCTGCTGCCCTCCCATGCTTATTTAGCATAGACATATCATACTACTTTTCTTATTTTTCTTTTTTGAGGGAGATTTTTGCTATAGGGCATATGTACTCACCAGAGAGACGGAGAGAGAGAGACAGGAAGCGAGAATCCTGAGCAAGCTTGCATGCACGCACAGGTGCTCCATGAGTTTCAAGCCAGCAGGTCCAGGACTCAAACCACAATTGACTATGTGGGAGTCCAACAATGTAAGCTGCTGTGAAAGCCACCGGACTCAAATAGCCGGTGACCCTTCAGTCCAAGGAGAGTCACGGCAACCCCAATCAACCACAAGAGTCAGTTCTTGCTGTAAAACACAAGAGGGCTTTATTGCTAGCGCGCTAGGACTCCACTCCTGGTCACAACAGACTCAGAGGGAAGTGGAGCCCCGAACAAAAGAAACACATAGATTATATAGGCACAAGTTGGAAGGGTGAGGGGAGTGGGGAATGAGGAAATAAGATAAGGGTCTTTTAAGTATGGTTATCTTTTTTTGCTGGCTCTGGCAAGGAGGGTTATTTACGCAAGTGGGCTACAAAGGTATTTTGCAGATGTTGCAACTGGGTCAGGTTAGATACTCAGGGTGGTCTGGTACTGATTTCCTGGGGGGGGGGATACATTTTTGCAGGGATCTGGCTTTCTGCATGGAGCTGAGCTGGTATGCAGGAGGCTGAGCAAGCCTCAGTGGCTTGCATAGCTCAGGGCTGTTTTTCAAGGCGGTGGCACAAGCTTTTGTACAGAAGCAAGAAAAGCAAGTAGTTAAGTTTAATTTTTACAGAGTATTGTTTGAGCTGATTTTTATTCCTTCAGCTGATCCCCTACTTTTCTTATCTTAATCCTATATCAAAAGTAACTTATTGGGATCAACAGATGGCATAATAGTTATGTTGGACTCCCACGTAGTAGACCGCTGTTTGGGTCCAAGACCTGGAGGGTTAAACTCATGCCGGGTGTGTATGTGCACATGCCCAAAATCCCAAGAGGAGAATGGAGGAGAAGGGATTGCAGCATGGCCATCCGCCCAGGGAGTGATTTCTCAGTTCTGCCTCTCTGTCTCTCTGGCGACCACATGCGCCCTATGGCAAAAAAAAAAAGTAACTAACTTCTTAAGTCATTAAAAGCTCAGGACCTTGGGACCAGCAGGTGGTGTGGTGATTAAGGAGTTGGACACTCCAACATGGCTGACCATGGTTTGAGTCCCCAGACCTGGTGGCTTGCTTTCTCACTTACCTTCTCTCTCTTTCTTTTTTTTTAATTAAAATTATTTATTTAATTGTATTTATTCATTCATTTATTTTAATTTGACCAGAGAGAAA